GCGCTCCAATCCCGAGTCTGCCGGGTTTATTCCTTGTCGTCCACGGGGTCACAGCATTCGCTGCAGCTCGCTGCCTGCCTTGATTACACCATTACAGCCGGCTACCACACACGCAAGGGCTCACAGCTCTGGTAGCACTGCAAGACCTCGGCCGGGCAGCTACTCAGAACAGGAGCGAGGAGACTTTGACTCGGACACATGATGGGAATAGTTGCTGCCGAAAGCACCGCGCCTCAGGGAGATTGACAGGAGACGCAGCCCTACTGACCCCCAATACCCAGACCTGCAGCCCTCGCTCACCTCGGGATTTTACAACTTGAACCAAGGCTGGCTAAGCTTGGGTCCAGTTGACGGCATCAAGGGCACGAGCCCCGCCCCTCCCCTTTCACAAGGCATCAGTCCTTTCAGCATTGGGCGGAGCTAAAGTGAAGATCCTGCCCATTCTATTTGAAGCCAGGCATCTCGGGCGGAAGTCTTCCGAGTTAAGAGTGTGCCCTTCATAGTTTCCTTACGGGCACTGCAACTGTTGAGCAGGAGGTTCCTGCCTTTTCCTATTCCCTTTTGTTTCCTGCTCTTTTGGTGGCCTAGAAATGGATGGGAATGTGCCCTCAAATCAAAGGAGTTTTCATTCGTCAGACAATATATATATATATATATACTTAACAGTCTCACACTGTACACCTGGCTAGCCTCTGCCTTTCCATTGTTGGAATTACAGGCATGATCGACGATAATGTCCTGTTGCATAGTGTAAGATTTGTGTAAGTAGCTGATTCAGAGGATTTTGAGCATTTTAATGCAAAGGTGAAGTGGACGAATATGCCAATTACGCAGATATGACCGTATGGGCGCACTGCAATCTCGCACTGTAGCTCATAAATATCTATAATATGCATGCCACAAATTTCAAGCTAATATTAAAAGGCGGGCATATGGCACGTGGCTGTAATCCCAGCATTCAAAGACCAGTAAAGATTGCAGTGAGTTAGAGGCCAGTCTGGGCTACAGAGTGACAGTTTGCCTCAAATAAACGCAAACATATATTCATGCATACATCCGAAGAGCTAAGGATGTAGTTCAGTTGGTATTCATCTACTTGCTCAAGGCCCTGCCTTAGATTCCAAAACTGCATAAATTTAGAGTGGTCTTTCATTATAATCTCAGCACTCTGGAAGTGAAGACAGGAGGATCAAGAGTTCAAGATCATCCTTGGCTACATGGTGAGTTTGAGACCAACCCCGGCTACCAGGACCTGTTGCCCTCCCCCCTCCCCTAAAAAAATCTGGACAATAAAAGGGAGTCTGCTGTGAGAATATGCGTTCTGTGGGAGTCCTAAAGGATTTGGGTGAGTTGTTGCAGGTTTCCTGATAAAGTTGCCTGAGAGGGAAGTCTGGGAATATATTAGTCATACTGTGAAGAGGAACAGCCTGTTGGAAGAGAGTATTTTGATATACAGATAATCTTGACCACTGAGCTATCTTAGCAACTGTTGGAAGATTTGAAAAATAAAAATTCATCCAAAACATAAAGTTAGAAATGTGGCTAAATGACCAAGGGCTTGTTCCATGCACTGTTTCCACAAAACAATCCCCAGTACTACAATAATAACAGTAAAAGAAGCTGTAAAAGAAGTAAAAGAAGTAAAAAAAACAGCTCTTTTTTTTTTTCAGCAAACATTTAAGGAATGCATTTTCTCAGATTCTGTGCTAGTCATTGTAAGGAAGAGATGAATAAAAGGGGAGCCTTACCCACAAAAGGCCCACAGTCTAATAGAGGCAAAGGAAAAAGAAACAAATATAAACTAGGTAGTAGGAGAGTATAAATACAGAGAACATTCCTTCACACACACACACACACACACACACGTGAACCAACACCCACACCCACTCTTCACCACCACCTGGGGGTTATTGTTTTGTTCTGGTCAGACTGTAGCACTCTATTTGGGGTATTTAGGCCTCTACCTCTCTTCCCCCAAACCCCTAACCCTAAGGAGAAGACAGCAGATGAGTGAGGAGAGGGGCGCAGACCTCTTTACTTTTCCTGACTGTTTAGGATCAGTGGGTCATTGGGGGCTACACCACTCTCCATGAACAGCAAACGTAGTCATCTCAAAGACCTTGCGCCCTGTGAGCTTCTATCTGCTCCAAACTGCCACACTGTTCGCCTCTGGTCTCTCAAAACTGCCACTTGCCACACACCAACACTGCATTCCATGCCATGGCAAGCCACACTCTCCTATCTTCAGAGCCCTAGACCAAGCCACTCTCCATGATGGAGGAGGAAGGCCATTACCAGCCAGCAAAAACCACGTCCCACACACCCCACAGGAGACAATTAAGAGCTGTGGACACACTAAAGCCCAACTAAAATCCACATTTTCATAACATAACTGAGTTTACAAAGAAACCAAAACTTCTATTACCTCAGGCATGAACTGGAATTGCCCTCAAAAGTGTTGTGCAAGGACATTCCCACTAGAGGTGTTCCAAACTGACCTGAAATAGCTCTGGCCGGGACTCCAAAAAAAGAGACATTAAACTCCAGGGCAGTTAGTACAAAGGGCTTAAGAGAACCCCACTTCATCACTGCAAAAATTAGAAGACGGAGATGTTCTATTTAGTATTGTCCAAGTAAGGGTGTGTGTGTGTGTGTATGTGTGTGTGTGTGTGTGTGTGTGTGTGTGTGTGTGTAGCTCCCAAAAAGAATTTGGGCTCAGATTGGGAGCCAGTTTCTTTCGGTTTTGGGCAATAATCTAATACCTTTATTGGTGCCATGGTTTGTATTTTCAAGTTCATGGCTTAGATTCAAGGTTACTAGGAAAACATCAGTGCTAGCTCAGTTAGTGGTCAGGGCACACCATTATTCCTCTTTGTGTCAGCACACAGAAGAAAGTAGGAGGACCTGGAGGATCCTACAGAGACATGGGGCATGGGGAGGACATCTGAAGCAGAAAGGCAATCATGTGGAGGGCCAAGGGAGTGTGAGAGAATGTAAAATGGCGAACAAGAACCTGACACTTGGCCAGAACCAAAGCTGTGTATGCTGGGCCTCTCCTCAGATGGCATTTCTTGTTAAGGACCTGACACTGTCTTCCACTAGATGGGGACCTTTGAACATGTGAGGTTTTGCAGGGTGTGTGTGTTTGAGACAAGGCTTACCTATGTATCCTAAGCTGCCCTCAAACTCATAGCAATCTCACCATCTCCACCTCCTGAGTGGCTGGTTTACAAGCTTGAGTCACCATGCCTAGTTGAATACTTTACAATTTAAAATGTATTTTTATTCTGCTAGAAAGAGAGCAAATTTTAGTTAGTATAGCAAACTATTAAGTTCCATAGATAATATTAAGACAGGCTAAAAAATCCTATTATCTTTTGGAAAAGATTTTTTTATAAGTATAAAAAAAACCTGTAAATAAAGAACAAAATGAAAAACCTTCGAACAATATTGCTTTTTTCTCTTTATTCTGTTTTATATAACTGGCTATATTGCAATGTTGCCTTGTTTAATCAATATTAATATAACTAAAAAGTATTATAGAATAAATTTACAGTTTAGTAATTATAGGTTATTCCCTTTTAGATTTTCATGTTTTTTTTCCTTAAAACAAAACAAAACAAAACAAAACAAAACAAAACAAAAAAAAACAGGGACTCAACTAGCCCATATATGCCTTGAACTACATCTATAGTGGAGGGTAGCCTTAAATCCCCAACCCTCCTCATTTGCACTGTTATCAACACTGCTGTAATTTAAAAATATTCGTAATCCTCCCCACTGCCAACTGCTAGGATCACAAGGAAAAGACGATCAGCAAACCCGGAGTGCTAGAATTACAGGCATGTCATCCTCCCCATCCTTTTTTTAGGCTTTACACTGGAATCTGAACAGGACCCAGTGTTTGTAAAAGTAATGTTCACTATTTATAAGACCTCCTGGAGATGTTATAAACTACTAAATTCAGTTATAAATTTGGTTTCTAAGCAGTAAGAACTTACTGGTAGGTAAGCTTTCTTTGCACCATGAATCATTTGATGGTGAATGAAAAGGATGATTTTAACAACTTCCCATCTCTTTATGTTCATGTTTCCCCCTGAGTTTTGTGCCATTAAAGGAAGGTTTTCAGTCTGAGGTTCTCTCACATTTATACTCACACAATTACTCACAGCTGTGGATTTTCCTATGATGGTTAAGGTATGCATTCAAGCTGAAGGCTTTTCCACAGTCATTACGCTCATAGGGCTTCTCTCCTGTATGTGTCCTCTCATTTTGGTTAAGATGTGATCTTCGGCTGAAGGCTTTCCCACAAAAACTACACTGATAGGGTCTCTCCCCAGTGTGAAGTCTGTGATGCTCAGTGAGGGTTGAGCTTTGACTAAAAGCTTTACCACACTCATTACACTTGTAGGGCTTCTCTCCTGTGTGGCTTCTCAGGTGCAGCTTAAAGGATGAAGGCTGCCTGAAGGCTTTCCCACATTCCTTACACATGAAAGGCTTTTCCCCTGTATGGATTCTCTAATGTTCAATGAGGTGCATTCTGTGGCAGAATCTTCTCCCACACTTATCACACACCTAGGGGTTTTCTCCTGTGAGGACTACCTGAGGTTGGTTAGGAGTTGAATGTTGGTTGAACGTCTCTCCACATTGACTGTTTTTTTTTTTTTTTTTTTTTTTACCAAGAATACAATTAGTAAGAACAGCATTCTGATGAAGATTTTCCTATACTCCATATAGTCATAAAGTTTCTCTCTTACATTGATTCTGTGATAATAATTCAAATCTGAATGCTGTCTGATGCTATGTCTGTTGTGGTATATTAATATTTACTATTGAATTATCTTGTAGTTAAGCAAGCTAAATCAGCTGTATACCCAAATCACCACACAGAGACTGGGATTTATTTAATTAACCTAGAGCACAATGCTGGGCAATGGATATTCCATCTTAAACCTCCAAGCCCACATAGTTTCCTACCATTCAGATTTCACCCACTATACTTGCTTTTCATCATAACCTAGGTCCGTTCTGTCTCTCCACGTGGTTCCGAGACCTCTCCTGTGGATTCTCCTCCTCTCTCCCCATTTGCTTCCTTCTCCCCCACTCCAGACCAGGATTCCCACCCTATCCTCTCCATTGCTCAGCATTGGAGCTGGTTGTTTAATTACAATATAGAGAACAAATGGTGGCATGTTTACAGAAACTTGAAATGGGTGATGCTCAGAATAAGTATCACAATGCAATGTCTGGAATGAAACCAGATTGTGGGGTAGAGAAATCAGCATTTAAATAAACAAGGGTAAATTGTATACATTCCACAAAAACATTATACCAACATTTCCTCCTTTAAGCCCAATAAAAGGCTCCTTCTTTTTTCAATACAATAATAATTATAAAAGTTATGAAAACTATTAGGTAAGATTTACATGTGCAATGTCCACTTTACATGCATTTGGCAACTTAGGAGAATGTATTTGATTATCTATTCTATCTCAACAAGTTTAGAATTCTATACCTACATTAACTTTTATTCTTACTGGCATTACTTATATGAAAACATTTTCTTAAATTCTAAAAAACTTAAGCTTAATTGTGGAACTATAACTATTGGTCTTCAACCCCACCAGAGACTTGAGAAGGAATAAAATTAGTTACTGGAGTAAACAGGAAGTGCATGTTAGCAGCTTTTAAAAAAATAAAAAATTGACAGAGACAGTTTGCTGCCTGAACAGTCACCCAAAACTCGCTATAATGTTGGAACATCATCTTCAAACCTCTGGCTCAGAATATTTGACAGACATATATATGAAGCAGGAACTATTCAGGACTTGCTTACCTGTCTTGGCAGAGTTTGGCAGTCGACTTGTCCTGCATTTAAGCTTGCCCATTTTTGGCAGAATTTGTCTGTAGTGAAGGGAGGGTATTTTCTTTACCCGAGTGGCTCGTTAGCCATATTTGAAGCTATCTTCATATGGAGGTTCTTCAATGCTCATGATCATCTTTGAGGTAGGCGGGGTGCTGCTAGGAGATGACCTGTCTCATTGTCAGAGAACTTCCAAAACAATAAAGACATTTTAAAATGCCATATTCTGTAGGTCTCTGAAGTTTTTGAAGACTTCCTATCTTTATGTAATCGATCTGTCTACAAAATCATATCTATCTGTTAAACTTAGGATGTATACGCCTGTGATAAATTAGACTACTGTCTGACATGACTATGAGTTTATTAACTAGCAATTAACTATTAATTAATACCCTAAATAGTTTTTAATAGCAGTTTAAAAGTATGGGAAATAACCTTGGATTTGTATCAATATTCTAAAGCTTATACCAAAGTATCAAAAATAGACTTATTTTTTCATCAATATACAAAATCCTCTACCAATGAGTTAAAAATAACCTTATTTGAGAATAACAAATAAAACCTTAAGTTGAGTAGATTCAATAATCTACCTTTTGTCTTATTATTTCTATAAGGTATCCGTGTATTCCCCCTTTCTTTCTTTTTAACCTCTTTTCTCCTTATTTAAGAAAAAGAGAAATAAAAAGGAAAAGAGAGGAATCCTTGAGTTTAACCTTGTTTTCTCTCTTAATAAGGCTATTAATAATTATAACCATCTCCCAATGACATTAAACATTCATAGCCATAGAAAACAACCAAAAACCTACACAACCCCCCTTAGGGAAAATTGGAAGTCATTATCCTGGATTTCTTCTAGGTGACATTTTGGACACATAGAAATCCTGTTAAGGGGCCCAAAGAAAATTAGGGAAAAATGGTTAATTAAGCAAGCAATAACATTTGTGGTCCAGTCTTTGAATGCTGAGAAATTTCAGGCTTAATAGAAGTCCTGTTTGGAACAGTCTAAAATGCTGGACCAATTGAGATTAGTAGCTTTCTTCAAAGCTCTCTTGGGAACAGGCTTTGATGGGAAACAGTAATTGAAGCAGATGAGGCAGGAACAAGCAGAATGCTGGAACATGTAAGATGCTGGAACAGATGTGTCAATGTCTCAGCATGCTGGAAGGAGGATTCTGTGAGGTTTGATCCAGTGTCTCCAGTGTCTGGTCCTTTTGTTCTGCAAATATATAATTTATCACAAGCATTATACAGTTCTGAAATTATAAATGTATGAGATGTTCAGAATGAAACTAAACTGTAAACCAATTTTATCTATGTCAATTAAAAGAATGGTATAATAAAATTTGAGGATATTGTAGCCAAGGATTTATTGGCCATGTATTGTTGAAGTTCTGGCTGGAGACATTTTATGTCTCAGTCAGTTTCAGAGTTGTTCCCATGTAAACGGATTAGCAATATAAGTTACCATTATTATCGAACACACAATCATTATCATGTTGAAATAAAAACAAGGTTGTATAGATCAAAATATCTTTTTGGGCTCTTGGGCTCCTGTTGTATTAGGCCAAGCTGTATCTATCTCCTGGGAAAAGGCCTTCCATTAGTGAGACAAGCTGGTTGCCTTGCGCAATAGAAAAGGCATGTTTTAAGTAAACTTTATATAAACTCCTTTTTAATTTAGAGTTTAAGCATACCCTAGGCATCTTGTACCTGTTTAGAGGTTTAGGCCTAGGTTTTTATATGTGCTGTTACTATTTTTGTCCTATCCCGTTTTTTATACAGAATGAACAGTTTTGCTTTTATAGCCAAACTTTATATAAACTCTCTTTTACTTTTAGCATTTAAGCATATCCTACGCATCTTGTACCTGGGTTTTTACATTTGTTTTGGCTATCTCTGGCTTGCACCCTTTTTTATATGGGATGGATGGTTTTGCCTTTTAAACATATGAATTATAATTTTTGAGTTTTTAGGACTTAACTAGGCTGGCGTGTACTTTGCTACCTGTAAGCCTCCTGTGTTTTTTTTTGTATCAGGTGTGACCAACATTTGTCCCCTGTGAAAATGTCTTACGTTTGAAAGGATAAGCCAGCTTCCAGAGCAGTGTGACATCTTAATTTAGTCAGTATTCAAAAGATTTTAGGCATGCAGTTTGTATATTTGTCTCGCAGCCTAAGACCTTACATTGACCAACAGAACATATTTCTTAAGCCAAAATACCCTTTGGCACCAGTTCTCCTGTGGAAGTCCCACTTTCTGAGATTGGCTGGCCTTTCTAGAGCAGTATGAAATAATCTCTTTTTACATAAACCAAAAATTGATGTAAATCTAATCTTTAGAACAATAAGAACATAACATTTATAATTAAGAAAAAAAGAATTTACATGGTAATCTTAAGGAAAATTTTGTCACTTTGAATCTTAGACAATCTCTGCAAGTGGCTAAACAGCAGGAGTTGCCACCTGGCTTTTATTTTGTAAATTAGGCTGATCCGGAACTCAGAGATTTGACTTTTTGTTGTTGTTGTTTTGTTTTTTGTTTTTTACTTTGTGTTGGGATTAAAGGCATGTGCCTTCACCAGCTTGTTCAAATATTTTTTCTCAAATCAATATCATTGTAACTCAAAGCTTTTAAATGAAAATCAAGCAAAAAGACAAGAAAATTTTAAGTTTTGGGTCAGTTGTGCCAATTTAGGCTCTAACAAGCAAAGCCCAGTTGGTTATTTTTTGGAATTTAGTTGATGTTTCAGTGAATTGGCAGACCCATACCAGAAAGAGCTGACAAGTATCTTGCAGCCAGAGAGCTTTGAATTTTAGCTATTATTAATTGTTGGAAACAATTAATGAATGATGAGGCGCACAGCAGATCTTATATGAAAGAGGTTTATTAGATGAAGATGAAGAGACAGAGAAGGAGAGAGGGAGACATGATAGGGGAAGAGAGGGAGTGCCCCAACAAAGAAAGGGTAAGAAGGCAAGAGGCAAGAGAGGCCAAGAGAGACAAAGTAGTGGGTTGATCCTTTTAAGGAGCAACCTAACCACGTCTGCCAGGTGTGGCTACCTGGCCTGTGACACATGATGACACCATAGGTTGCTGGCAACCCAGAAGCAGGTGCCTAAATACTTACATTCTTCTCTTTTTCTATAATTAAAAAATGAGGAACCTGGGCTGTTTCTCATATAAGGTAAGTTAAAGTATATAATTTAGGTTCATTAGAAGGAAGCAGCTCTTGGTTGCTATGTAAAGGGTAAGAAAGAAAGGAAAATAATAGCAACAAAATGTCCAGATTATATGGTCAAGAGGAGGAGGAGGGAAAGCCTCTGCCCTGAAAAGTTTAGGGTAGAGGGTTTTCAGCAGAGAGTTGCCAGCCACGAAAGGTAGCAGGTAGGGACTGGGGAATGCTGGGAGAACCTGGAGCTGCTTGTCCTGGGCCTGAAGCACACCATTCCAGCCTTTTGTTAATAATAAGTGAATAATGGGTATAGATTCTCTTCTGGCTACTTCCTGCTGACACTGCAGGCGCTGTAGGGAGGTCAAAAGGCTGAAATGCTGGCCAAGTCCAGGAAGAACAGGCTGCTTTGATGCTGTCCAGGGTCTGTAAGACCATCCATGGCTGGGAGGGAAGGTGCAGGTCCAGCCTGATGGAAGTCTGTGAATACTTGTGGTAGCTGCTTTGCCACTGTTGTGGATGTAGGGAGCACCTGGGTCTGACAGGATACTGGAACATATATATAGGCAGAAGATAAAGTTAAGGAGATTATGGAGAAAATTCTTTCGGTGTATATTTAAAACTTTTGCGAGAGCCAACAGAGGTGGAAGGTTTGGATCAAAGAGACTTGAACATGGGAACCTCCATTTACCTGAGGGAACCTGCATTTACCCAGTCACTGGCGTAATTAAAAAGGCTTTGCTTTGGATCTGTCATCTAAGGAAATTGAGGCCAAGTTTGACCAAGTAGAGAGTTTACACACTTCTGTGTGTAAACTTAGAGGCCCTTAAAGCGGGCACTAGGTGTAGAAACCTGAAATTCTCCAGAAGACACCCCAGAGGAGAATCTGGAGGAACGGACAAATGCACTATTCCCATTGGGAGGTAGGAGCCAGTGACCTGTCATGGCGTCCAAGATCAAGGTTTAACTCAGAAATGGTCCTACCTGATCCAGCAGCTCCTCAGCTTTGGCTAGAGACTAAGGGCACAGCTGGCCGTAGGAGGCACAGTTTATCTAGTGCTAGGAGTTTTGTAGGCAAGTGTGAGGGGGAGAAACTGTGGGTGTAGAGGGAAAAAAATCTCTAGGGGAAAGAGGAAGTCCTAAATGGAGCAAAAAGGGTCAATTGTAGCCAATGAAGCCTGGCTGGGGGGTGGGGTGGTGTCCCTCCATCTCAAAAGATAGTAGGAAGTTGCAGATGCTGAATGGCTAAGCTTCCCCTACCAAGAGTGGCATTTATACTGATCACTGAGGTGAACTCACCAATCCAGTGGCTGGCCAATGAGGAGAACTCACCAATCCAGCCAGTGTTGCCTGTAGAAGGCAGCAATCAAGTAACCAGGAAAGGGAAGTCCCCAAACCAGGGAAAGTGGAGGACTCCCACCTTCTGAGATAGGCAATAAGTACATACTTATCTGGAGCCCAATTGACCTGAGAGGTGGATTTCCCGAAGCTTACAAGAATTACTTTTAAGTTTTACGAAGGAGGTAAAACTTTAGACCTGTTAGCGTCACAATTATAATCTGCATTGAAATATACATTGTAGAAAAGGCAGTGGACATACACATTTATGTTAACAGCATAAGCATTCTTTAAGGTGATCTCTGAAAAGGCAGAAGCCTTTCCTGAAGTACAAGGGACAAAAGCCCACTTGATTTTAACCTTTAGTATAAGCACACGTTAAGGAGATTTACAATCTTGAGCTTGGAACCATGATAGTGGGTAGTATAGCGGAATGTTTTTGTATTAGAGTTGGATTAATAAATCAGAGCTCTGTTGATAAAGGTCAAAGCTCTGGATAGTTAATATAACAGCAGCAGAGCAACAGGAGGAACTATTAAGCCTTTTTACCTATTTAGGATACCTTAAATCACCTTAGCCCTTGCAACCTTTATAACTTGCATTTACCAACCTTAAAACATTTTCTTAGACCCTCAAACATTTATATCTTGTGTTAACAATCTTAAGACATTTTTAAGACCCTCAAACAACATTTTTTTTTGCCTTTGTATCTAGTCATTTACCATGAGACATAGGTGAGACTGCTATGAACATTTATTGTCCTTAAGCTAAATACAGGGATGGTAAAAGGTTTCATTCAGGCCTGTTTCTTGAGTCTGGCAACAAGGCATATTGTATCTAGATCTTACAATAGCAACTCTAGGACTCAGTCTTAAGGCCTGGTCTCCTGCATATGAAGAGAACTGAGAAGGCATCTGAAGTCTCCCAAGACAGAAGTTGGCAACAAGTCTGTGGGATCCCACTATGAGGAAAAAACAGACCTGCAATGTTACCCTGGCTGGGTGAGGGTGGTGGAGGTCGATGAATCAAGGAGCCATTTGTCCTCCGCTAGGCCAAGGAGCTGGAAGGCTGGAAGTGTCTAGTGGCTCTTGTGCTGGTTGAGCTTCCATGGCTGGGCACAGAGGACAAACCTGCATGGGAGTGTTTTGACTTCCAGAGGCCGGTCTGCCGGCAGGAGGAAGAGGAGGAGGAGGAGGAAGAGGAGGAGGAAGAGGAGGAGGAGGAGGA